TAGGAATATGTTCCTCTTGACCCCATTAGAAAGTGTGGTTGAAAGGAAGAAAGAAGGAAAAGGATTTACTAGAAGAATAGAATGAAATTTGGTGATGTAGCCAATGCTATATAGCTAATGTGATGTGAGGGAAATAGATTAATACTATTAATTGTGGACAATTAACTAAGTGAAATGTTTACTGTATAAAATTGAATTTGGGGATATATGTTGGTTGAGAGTAAAAAAAAAAGAATAATAGATGGAAATGTTATGTTAAATCTAATTAACTTGGAGAGGCAATAAAGATATTGTTTAGCAATAGCAATAGCAACAGCAGTTAGACTTATATACTGCTTCATAGGGCTTTCAGCCCTCTCTAAGCGGTTTACAGAGTCAGCATATCGCCCCCAGAGTCTGGGTCCTTATTTCACCCACCTTGGAAGGCTGAGTCAACCTTGAGCCGGTAAGATTAGAACCGCTGAACTGCAGATAACAGCTGAAGTGGCCTGCAGTACTGCACCCTAACCATTGCGCCACCTCGGCTCATCCATTTTTTTTTGGGGGGGGGGGAGGTGTAGTTCGACATCACTCAATGTGGCTCTGTTTTCGGCCACGATGGCTTCCTGCAGCCGTCTGCCAGTAATGGGATCAGTTTTCACTGGCAGAGGGCTGTAGGAGGCCATCATGTCCGAAAACGACGCCCTGGAGCACTGCACATAGTCCTCCCAAGCTCCGTTTTCACTGGCAGAGGGCTGCAAGAGGCTGCCATAGCCGAAAATGGAGCCCAGGAGGGCTGCTCATAGTCCTCCCGAGCTCCGTTTTCGCTGGCAGAGGCACTGCAGGCCAATCCTCCGCTGTTTCCAGGGTGAGCCCGCGGGGCAGGTCTAAGCACCCTGCGGGCCGGATTCGTCCCACGGGTCTTCAGTTAGACACCCCTGACTTAAGCTATCAATGAGACTTAGCCTTCGAATCAGAACACAAGCCTTGGGTTGTTTTTATTGCAACTCTGCCTCCAGTAAACAGAAAAAGACTAGGGAATTATTTCCTTTCAACAGGCCTTGCAGTGTACAGGAAGGATAATCTGATGTGTGTGTATGTTTCTCCCCCTCTTCCTCCCCCCCCCTCCCCGGTCTCATCTCAAACAGGACAAATACCTTCATACAAATTGCTTGGCAGCTCTGGCCAACATGTCCGCGCAGTTCCGCTCCCTTCATCAGTATGCCGCTCAGAGAATCATCAGGTAAAATGCAAGTCTTGTACAAAATAATTCCCCTAAGTTTTGTTTTCAAGTTCTGCCGGAAAGAGACCCCTTACCTCCAATCCCTACATTTAAATATTGACCCAGGGGTTCTGTTCAGCTTCACGGAGTCTAGAGTAAATGTTTACGGATGGTATGGATGGCAAACATTAGTAGTGCTTACCCTGAGAAAAAGCAAGGAGTGAGTAAACGTGTTGGAAAAAGAGCTGCCTCCTCAGTATTGAATAATGAATATACCATTGAGTTACGTGAAATAAGTGGGATTGTTACACAGATGCCTAGGAAAAGAGGGCTCTATCGTAGCAGTTATTTGCAATTGTGAGAAGTATTTTATGTGGGTTGATGAAGCTGCATGATGTCCCTTTTCATTGTTTGAAAATTCAATGTTTTTGAGGAATTTTCCTCATCTGATTTGCCGGCAGAGGAAATTCTTCCCTGTAAATCTGATTTGGGAAGACCAGGCAGCGTGCACAATTATTTTCTACACATTCAGTTCCTCACTAGACCTGCATGGGGCATCTGTTGCCGTGCGCCAATGCAAGGGTATCCATATGACTCAGAACTTGGAGAATTTAATACAACTTGCCTGAACAATTAATCTTAACATGGAACCCCAAACATTCAGAGTTCCTTTAGTCCATTGCTTGAACACCATTGCGTCCTCGATGGTGAACCTGTGGCCAGCTGTACTTCTGCACCAAGTGCCCAAACCGAATGAGCGTGTGCACCAGAAGCTGGAAGACCAGGTGGCTGGCGCGCATGCGCGTGTCAGCCACCGAGTCTTCTGGTTTCCAGCGCTCCAGCACAGGCAAAGATCAGCTGGCTGACATGCACATGCGCACCGGCCAGCTGGTCTTTGAGCATCCAGGGCTCCGGCGCATGCATGCGTGCACATGCGCATTCCGGTTTGGGCACTCGGTGACAAAAAAGGTTCGCCATCACTGATCTAGGAAATCTCAGCTACACAATTTTTAAAAAACTAGGTAATCTATCCTATTTATCCTGCCTCCCCCCGGTTCACCGACTAAACCGCGCCCGACTAAACCGCATCGCTGACGTCATCAACAGGGCGACAACAGCGCGGAGACAGAACCACGCTGTAAACCCTAAACCTAAAATTAACCCCTAAACCTAACCCCCCTAAACCTAATCCTAAACCTAAACCTAACCCTTAATCTACCCCTAAACCTAACCCTAAACCTAATCCTAATCCTAATCCTAACCCTTAACCTAACCCTAAACCTAACCCTAAACCTAACCCTAAACCTAACCCTTACCTTAAGTTGAATCGGCTTGCTTTCAAAGCGCTATTTAAAGCGCCCTTCTTTCTCCGCGCTGGCTGTTGTCGCCCTGTTGATGACGTCAGCGACGCGGTTTAGTCGAGTGCGGTTTAGTCGAGCGCGGTTTTGATGGGTCACGCCTTCCCCCCCCCCCCGGTTCCAGGTGAGATTTTCCCCCACCCTCCAATCCTTCTGCAAGGATTTGGAGACCTGGCTCTGCCTGTTGGTCTGAGGACTTTCAAGAGAAGGAAATCAGGAGTCCAGGAAGTTCAGATGAATATATAGGTTTTATTATATGCTAAATCTCTCTACAAGAATTTGAACTACCAATGGTCAAAGCAAGTTAGCAATAGATAAGAGTCAACAGAATTTAAGGTGGGCTGGATTTAAGAGTGCTTGTGAGCGCAAAGGGATTTGAGACTGATGACACATTTGACCCCTCCTTCGGGCTCAATCTCTCATCTCCTACAGGGCCCCAATAGGGGAGAACATCACTGGAGGTGGCTACTGGATTAATTAGCTGACTCCCATCTCCCCCCTTGTGCTTTCTGCTCCCCCACTCCACCCTTTTAAAAATTTCATATTATTGTACTTCCATTGTTTGTTTTTTATTATTTTATACCTTTGCTATCGTTACGTTTTTTATTATTTTCCCCCCATTTTATTGTTGTAAGCTGCTCAGAGGAACCTCCTGGTGGGGTGGGGGGAGGGCCGCAAATAAATAAATAAATAGCTATTCTCCTACAGGAAGACCAATATGTTAATGAATAAACAAAACACTTATGACCACAGGTCTATTTGCATATTGTAGAAATTTAGAACGCTTGGATGCCAGCCCTTGCTGCTCGCTCTCCCTCCCTCTCTCTCTCTCTCCCTCCCTCCCTTTCTTTCCCCCCACTCTCTCTGGAAACTTAGGATACCCTTTAACCCAATTAGGTTCACTGACAGTACGTGAGGAGTCCTCACGTTACGGCCTACCCCCATGATGGCGAACCTATGGCATGCGTGCAGTGGTGGGTTGCAGGCGGTACGCCCTGGTACGGGTATACTGGAGCCTGCCTAAAGCACCAGATACCGTTCCGAAACGGTGCTCCAGAGGGCCCGCCCGCCCTACTTGTCAGTCTTTTAAGTCTTTGGCGCTTCCGTGTACAGCACCTGCGTGACACTCCGCTGAGCAGCTGGAGCGTCATGGAAGCGCTAAGATCCGGAACACACTATTGCACACGTGCCAGAGGTGGCACGCAGAGCCCTCTCTGTGGGCACCCACACCATCACCTTTGCGGGCACCGGAACACTGGAAAACAGCCTGAAAACAGCCCAAAAATGGCTTGAAATACGGCTTGAAAATGGCCAGAAAACAGGCAGGCGCATGCCGGACAGCTGGCCTTTGGGTTTCCAGTGCTCTGGTACACACACTTGCACGCATGTTCCAGTTTGGGCACTCAGTGCTGAAAAGGTTCCCCATCCCTGTCCTTCCCCATTGTAATTCAAGGTGATCATAAATAAATAAATCACCTACAACATGATCAACCCAACTTTAAAACCTAAAATTTTAAATTTAGTTAAATGAATTAATGCTTCGCAATGGGTGAGTTATTTCTGAAAACCGGAAATCAATGCTTTTTTTTTTTTTTTGCAAAAACATTGTAAAATACAGTCAAATGACCACAGGATGCTGCAAATAGCCATTTGCCTGGTGTCTAAAAAACGGTCACATGACTGTGTGGGGGGGGAGGCTGTCAATCATCATAACCGTGAATCTGGGTCATAAGTATTCCCAGGGAGATCCATCCTAATTTCTGACGGTTACTAAGCAACCGTCCGTAGATCAAGGATTACCTGTATTTCAACTGTGCTTTGTTGAACAGGCCGTTGTGGCTGGCTACCCTCATTGCATTAAAGCTAGAAAGGCAGAGTTTACAAACCACAGTACGTCTATCGTGTTGACTGAAATCGTGGAAAATCACATTAGAACACGGTGCAGGAAATCCGCCAGTCCCTACTGCCTTCCACTGGGCTCTGCAAGTCTATTTGCTTAGTCTCTAGAAATCTCTTCAGGATGTTTGTTCCCACTTGGCTTACTCTGAGCTCTAAAATCTGTTATTTGTTTCTTTTAGCATTGCCACTTCTGCAGCAAGTCTTTCTCGTGTTTATATGGTTTTGTAGAGTGCTGTGTTAACGTTTTCTCAGAAAAACCACAGGCCAAAGCCATCGCTTCTGCCTGGCATCTGAATGGAGCACTGTTTCTCAACCTTTGTGGCAGCAAGGCTGGCTGGGGAATTCTGGGAGTTGAAGTCCACACAACTTAAAGTTGAGAAACATTGGAACATGGGTCGTCCTCAACTTATAGCAGTTCATTCAGTGACCAAAGTTACAATGGCGCTGGGGCGGGGGGGGGTGCGGGAAGGATCGTTTTTCACTTTTACAACCTTTGTAGCATTCCCACAATCATGTGATCAAAATTCAGAAGCTTGGCAACTGGTTCGTACATACGACCGTTGCTGCGTCCCACGGTCATGTGATCCCCTCTTGCAACCTTTGGAGAAGCAAAATCAAAGGGGAAGCCAGATTCACTTCACAGTAACTTCACTTCACACTAACAGTTAGTGTGACTAACTTATCGACTGCAGTGATTCACTTAACAACTGTGGCAAGGAAGGTCATAAAATGCGGCAAAACTCACTTAACAAATGTCTCACTTAACAAAAGAAATTTTGGGCTCGGTTGTGGTCGTAAGTCTATAGAGAGAAAAACAAGGGGCACTTGTGCTTTTATATTCCAGGATTGCTGATAAACAGCATGGATCTTGGGTCTGGATAGCATGGATAACTGGGTCCTAAAAACCACCTTAATGCCTCTTGCATGTATATGATACAGGGGTATTTAATTTCTTGACCACTGTCTTTTTGTAATCGAAAGAGAGTCTTAGATTATGAAAGATTATGAAAGAAAACAGAATTATGAAAGAAAGCATGATGTGAATATCTCTTTGTATAAATGATGCGCCATGGTGGCGCAGTGGTTAGAATCCAGTATTGCAAGCTATTTCTGCTGACTGCAGTTTGGCAGTTCGATTCTGACCTGCTCAAGGTTGACTCAGCCTTCCATCCTTCGGAGGTCAGTAAAATGAGGACCCAAATTGTTGGGGGCAATAGGCTGACTCTGTAAACCGCTTAGAGAGGGTTGTAAAGTGCTGTGAAGCAGTATATAAGTCTAAGGGCTATTGCTATTTTATTTCTACTGGCTAAACTAGCAAAGAATATCTCAGTTTGATCTTTTGCCTTAAGGGATGTTCATTATAGTACCGAAAGAGAGGTAGCCATGATGAAATCTTTCAACTCCAAGCAGTTTTGGCTTTTTTAGAACAGTGTAGGATCGAATTCTCTATTGGCCAAGTGTGATTGGACACACAAGGAATTGGTCTTTGGTGCATATGCTTCCAGTGTACATAAAGAAAAATAAAATAGAATACAATCATCAAGAATCATAAGACACAATACTTAGAGATAGTCATAGGTTACTAATAAGCAA